TTTATCAATTCAAACGCTAAATATTGGCCTAGGCCTATATAGGTTTCTTTATTTTTAAACGATCGAAGTTTCTATGTACCGGCACTTCTTACTTCAAGTAATCATTTAAGCCCCAGAAAGCTAAACTGGAAGAGTGTTTTGTGGGAGCAAAATAGTCCTCAATAGATTACAGTAATTTAATAAAAAGTTCAAACATGACAGTCAAGTAATATCTGTATCTGTTATCTATTAGAAATAAATACTTCTGCCTGAAATCTAGATAGTACTATGGATTTAATCCACTGTACAATAATTCACTTTAATAAATAATCACATTAAAGTGATTATTTATTTTCGGGCGTCGAAGATGGATTTCATGTGGATGTGTAGGCCTAAGAATACTTCAGTAAAAATGTATTGTTAACTGTATACAGCTTAGTCTGGTCGGCCAATTTATATCAATTCGCTTTATTTGATCTCCCAACAAAAAGGTATGGTCAAAATACAGACCCAATATAAATAATGAAAATGAAAACTCCGGAACCAGGGCGCCTTAGAACCTTACCCTACTGATTGCATTGTTAATACGTTGGGCAATTGTTTGTCATAGGATGAAAAATCAATTTGAAAATCCAGTTATATATTTGATTTGCCTATAATTTAAGTAAGTAATTAACTTACAATTAAAAATTTGAAGCTTTTGGCGATAGGGAGTATCGATTTTATGGAAACCTTGCTTAACGGACAATCAAACAGTAATGGAGAAATACTGTACAAAGTTATTAACGATTTGGTTTATATAGAAATCATATAAGCCTACTGTATTCACTCTGGATTTGTATTGATTTTATAAAAGTGCAGAAGAGACACACTTTGTGAGGTATGTCAGAAAATAATAATAAAATTAAGTACAAAACAGACATGTATACAAGCAAAACATAATTTATATTGCGAATTCAATTATATTTTATTTAAGTCAGTGTAGTTTGTTTTGTGCAGTATAATACTTACCTTCCATAAATTGTATTAATATATATAGGGCAGACTTTGATTGAATTGTGTATGTAATCCATGTTGCAAGTGACATAAATTTGATTTGATTTGATTTGATTTGAACCGGGCCCCAGTGGTTTATAGCCAGTTTAGCCACATAGACATTGTTATTTATATTGCATTTATAATGTGTTATGTTTTTTGTACTTTATTTATTCGTGGAGGAATAAGTATACTGTTACCATGTGTATGCATAACATGTTATATTTTATTTATTAGGCCTCATCATTATGTATTTCACAATATCCGTCAACTCGTAATAGGTTATTGTTATTCATATTGCATTATGTGATCGTGTTTCCTGCACTTCATTTATTCATGGAGTAATGCTATAGTGTGTATTCATAACACATGTTTTATTTAATTATGCCTACCATTTTTTATGTAGGCCTATTCCTAAATATCTTTCAAATAATATAAACGAGTCTTTGTTATTCATATTGCGTTACGGTATATGGAGTAATGTGTTCGTATTTCTTGTACTTTATTCATGGAGGAATAATAAGCATCTCATTTCATTTAGTTATTAAGGCAATTGATAAGAAATTTTGAACAATTTATATTTCTATCATTTTTGCAATACACTGTCTTATTCACATTATTTTAAAAACGAATTGTGATTTGGTCATTCCAAATAAATAATATAATAATATATATGTGTCCACATAAAGCATTCTTAACCTGTGTGATGATTTTCTAGGCCTATTCCAGGTACAGGAAGGCCCATTATTATCTCTTTTTTTAAGGGCGGCGCCAGGAATTCCCCGACGAAGGGTCCACTTTAAGCTCCCCGACAAGGGGGTCCACGCCCCCTCCCCCGTCGGGGGAAGGCTACACTCTCCCGTCGAGAAAAAAAAATAAATCTGTCGGGAATTTTTTTTTATTACAAGATAATAAAATGTGTTAATTATGGATTTTTTTAAAACACGGATAATTTCGGTGCCCGAGGTTTGATTTTTCCCTGACGAACTTGGAAATTCCCTGACAGGGGGGTCCAAGCAGGGGCCCCAGAGGTCCCCGGCGGGGGTCCTCCCCCAACCTCCGCCCCTGGGTCTATGATTGAGTACCGGTAAGTGTAAGATGTCCTGTAAGGTCAAACTCTTCAAACAAAATAAAATTATGGGGGGTCCCTCATAAACATTCGCTTCACTCTCTTTCAAACCTGCGACCCAAATCGGTCATGTCAGCGATCTATTTGGTCCGCTTTGTTAATAAAAAGAAAACAAGTATCTTAACATGTCGGCGATGATAATTTTATCAACCAAACGCTAAATATAGGCCTAGGCCTATATATGTTTCTTTCTTTTTAAACGATCAAAGTTTCTATGTACCGGCACTTCTTACTTCTATAAGTAATCATTTAAGTCCCAGAAAGCTAAATTGGAAGAGTGTTTTGTGGGAGCAAAATAGTCCTCAATAGATTACAGTAATTTAATAAAAAAATTCAATCATGACAGTCAAGTAATATCTGTATCTGTTATCAGTGGCGGCTCTATAGGATATATTTTCTGAAGGAGGTGGGGGGAGGCCCGCTAAGTTGTCCGACAGGGGGACTTGAGCTCGTAGGCTCGAGCTGGGAGAAGGGGGTTCCCTTCCCAAATGAGATTTTTTTAAAGAATATCAACCTATAGATGGCCGAAAATGGCACTCTCAGACTGACAGACATGTGTTGACTTGGTGTGGGACTATTTTTATATGTTTTATGGTCTGACTGCCCGACGAGCTCTGTCCGGCGGGGGACTTGATTGCCCTATCCGGTGGGGGCTTTAGCTCCCCTGTCACCCCGCTGGCGCCGCCACTGTCTGTTATCTGTTAGAAATAAATACTTCTGCCTGAAATCTAGACAGGACTATGGATTTAATACACTGTACAATAATTCACTTTAATAAATAATCACATTAAAGTGATTATTTATTTTCGGGCGTCGAAGAATAGACTCCGGGATGGATTTCATATGGATGTGTAGGCCTAAGAATACTTCAGTAAAAATGTATTGTTAACTGTATACAGCTTAGTCTGGTCGGCCAATTTATATCAATTCGCTTTATTTGATCTCCCAACAAAAAGGTATGGTCAAAATACAGACACAATATAAATAATGAAAATGAAAAGAGAAAAAAAAATTGTATAACTCTGGAAACAGGGCGCCTTAGAACCTTACCCTACTGATTGCATTGTTAATACGTTGGGCAATTGTTTGTCATAGGATAAAAATCAATTTGAAAATCCAGTTATACATTTGATTTGCCTATAATTTAAGTAAGTAATTAACTTACAATTAAAAATTTGAAGCTTTTGGCGATAGGGAGTAGCGATTTTATGGAAACCTTGCTTAACGGACAATCAAACAGTAATGGAGAAATAGTTATTAACGATTTGGTTTATATAGAAATCATATAAGCCTACTGTATTCACTCTGGATTTGTATTGATTTTATAAAAGTGCAGAAGAGACACACTTTGTGAAGGTATGTCAGAAAATAATAATAAAATTAAGTACAAAACAGACATGTATACAAGCAAAAGATAATTATTTATTTAAGACTATACAGCAACAATAATTAATTACCAACCAAACAATATACCAAAATAATTACACATAACCAATATATATTATACATAACCAAAAAATATGATTTGTAAACTGTAAAATTGGTAATAATAGTAAAACATAGTAATAATGGTAATAATATTAATAACAATAATAAAAAAAATTATCGTTAATAATGTAATTATAACAGGAATAACAACGCAACTAAAATGACACCAATTGCAATAATATTTAAGATATTATAAAAGGTACAGGGGCAGATCCAGAATTTTTCAAATGGGGGAATGAAATTATTAGAGAAAAGCGGGGAGCGCTAACAGGATTGGCATAACAGAGGGGCCTGAGGCTCTATTGAAAAAATTTGTTTTGTATTCTATTTTTTCTTATTTCAATACATGGCAATTTTATGCACTGAAATTTTTAAATGTGGCAACTGCCCACTGCCCCCTTTGGATCCGCTCCTGAGATACAAGACAATTTATAGTCTTCAAAAATCCAACAAAATTTTTGGCATACATGGCAAATTTACAGCATATTAAAAAAAAAAAAAACTGTATCTAGTTAAAAACACTGACAAACTGACACCAAAAGATAGTTAAAAGTATAGAGGTTAAAACATTTAAGGAAAACGACTTAACTATATTCAGACTGTTTTTATCACCTACCATTTTAAATTTGAGTAAAATATGTGGATGGAATTAGGTATAAAGGAATTTGAATGACGATGACAAGAGTGCAAGAGGGTGTGTATGGGCGAAATACAAAATCTCTTGGAAATGGTCCGGCAATAAGACCTCCAGAAACTATAAATATTTATGAGTTTCAAAAGGCTAGTTTAATTGATTCTAGAGTATATGTAAAAAATCTGTATATTTTAATACACAAATACGTATTATCTCCCATGAATTCTCTGTCACCCAGTCCCCATTGGCACCACCCTTGATTAAAGAAAGGACATTTAAAAATTGTCGATAACAAAATTATTTCATCTGATTCAGTTTCTTTAAAAAGTGCGTTCCGTTTGACTGCTTTACTTGGTATTATGCCTACTTGTGAGTTTACATTCCATTTTAACATGCCAGTGATTATATCAGCTACTGATGTTAAGCGTGTCAGTAGTAATTATTGTCCTAAAGCTACTGATCATAGTGTCATCTGCATACTTAATAATAATAATAATAATCATCATTTAAAATTTGTCGATAAAAAAATTATTTCATCCGATTCTGTGTCCTTAAAAAGTGCGTTCCATTTGACTGCTTTACTTGGTATTAGGCCTACTTGTGAGTTTACATTCCATTTAAACGTGCCAGTGATTATATTAGCTACTGATGTTAAGCGTATCAGTATTAATTATTGTCCTAAAGCCACCGATCATAGTGTCATCTGCATACTTATTAATAATAATAACAATAATAATAATAATAATAATAACATTGCACTTGCTACAAAACATTAAAATCACAATGGATAAAAGTATTGGAGATAAAACTCAACTTTGAGGAATGCCTATACTTAATTAATTTCTAGTGCAGTATTCACATTATAACACACTCACTCTGCAGAATATCAATCTTTAAAAAATGGTAGTTTAAAAATTCAACCTTGGTGAAACATTAAAAGTTATCAATTTTTTAATTAAATTATGATGCAAAACTGTGTTAAAAGTGCTTGAAAAAAAACCAAAAAAAAAAACCATGTCCTTTTGCTAAATCATCATCATCATCAATTATTTAAGTCAGTTTTCTTCCCTCTTCCAAGGGGTTACTGACTGTCACTCGTTCCATGCAGCTACACCATCTCTCCACTTCTTCCTGTCTTGTGCATCATACTCCTCCAAACCAATTTTTGCACTTTCTTTCTTCACCATATCTTTCCACGTCACCTTTGGCTGCCCCCTTACTCTTCTACCTTCAACTTCTAGATGCCAGGCTCCCTTTACTGGATCACCTTCGTCTTTTCTTAGCACATGACCCATCCATCTCAAGCTACTCCTCATAACAACCTCCACAATTGTTTCACTTAGACCTAGACGTTCCATAAGCTCCTTTGTGTTCCTTCTTTCTGCCAGCTTAATACTTCCTGAAATCTAGGAAGGCATAATTCTGGGCATCTCTAAACATTTAAATATGTTATAATTACTTTCCATTCCTAACCGATAAAAAAATACGTATATAACTGGTAAGGATAAATTCAAGTAAAGGTGAACAATTTATCATTTTCAAAAATGAACTTTCCAAGTTGTATTAATGTACAATTCTTAAGAGTGATGATGATTATCTGCTTCTATAGCTTTCTCGTTATCTGTTTGGATTTTTATTGCAAGTTCTCTGCTTCTATAGCTTTCTCGTTATCTGTTTGGATTTTTATTGCAAGTTCTCTGCTTCTATAGCTTTCTCGTTATCTGTTTGGATTTTTATAGCAAGTTCTCTGGTCTTGCTTTGTATTTCTTTCGTTGGTTGCCTGAGGATAGAAAAGAAAGCACTTTATTCATAGGAAAAAAACTCTAATGTTTTAATAATTTTCAGTTATATGTCATTAAATGGAAATTTTGCTTTTAACAACTATGTTATTTCTATTATTATCATATGTATTATATATATGCATACATAGATCCATCTAATTGGTTATAACAAACATCACAAAGAATTATGCATGGGGAACAGTTTTGACCCTTGGCTTTTAAATTCCAGTGTTGGTTTAAATACTGATCACTCTACTAATTTTGGTATTTTTGTTTTTTATATTTGACAGAATATAACAAAAATATACTCAGAAATGTAATAAACTTTACTAGTAAAATAATAGGTAAGACGACAGATAGTCCTGATGCCCTATAACAAGAGAATGTAAAGCTGGATAAAATAATTAAAGATACATCACATCCACCTTTACTACACTAACCAAAAATGTGAAAGTGTCCCCTTAATAGGGGTTATTTGACCTTTTGGCACACTCAGAAAGTGTCCCTGTCCCCATAATTGGTGTTGGCCGTAGTGTTAAGATATATTTCCCCTCGTTTCACAGAAAAGTGTCCCCTTAATAGAGGTGTGCCCTGAATAGGGTGTCCCAAAGGAGGGGGGTTCTACTGTATATTAAAGATAGATTGAAATGTGCTTTTTCAAACACCCTCACCATCCTTGTGACCACTGTAAGTATCCATCAACAATAATTATTTAAAAAAAAAAAATTATAATTATCATCCAGAACTGATCAATCCAACTGCCATGCCGAACATAAACGGTTCAAGTATTTACTTACCTTTTCTTTCAACACTTGTCATGCTTGAAATGCCACTGTCCTGGGAGACCATGGACTCGCTGCCATCATTTTCGGAGCTAGATGAACTATCGCGTCGCTTCCTCGAAGTTGATTGATCAGTCTCCTCCGAATCTAAAAAATATTCATGAAATTGGCTATTTCTGAACATCATACCACACAGGAATAAAAGCAAACTTGAAAAAATTCATTGTATCGTTAGAGTGAAATTCCTGCCTATAAAGCTACTACAGGGTTGAATTTTAAGGTGATGATCTTGCTGTACTGGTCCTTTTATTTTTTAACTTCATTTCTTTTATATATATTCAATTTAATGTTCCAACCGAAATGAACTAAATCACTGTAGAAATGTAGCAATTATAAAATGTTTATCAGATATTTCTGGGTTATTTGAAATTTCTTTCTGCCAGAATATAAAGTTTAGTACTGCACCAGATCATTTTTAATGGATAATGATTGAATACAGGTCTGTAGTTTTACTGTAGCCACAAAACGAGGTCTTATATTACCTGAATGAGATATGGAATCTGTTAACATTTTCTCTAATAGTTTCTGTGATGATTTCTTTTCTGCCTCCTAAAATAAAATATTTTAAAAATAATGTGACACATGCATATTTATTAATATCTACTTCTACTTAAATATTATTAATATTATAGTCATATTCACAGGCAGTATCTCAGGGTGGACGGTTGGCATAGGCCCACACAACACCCACTCAACACTTTTAAAGTGTGGGTCAACTGCTTTGTACAGTAGGCTGCCCCAAAAATTTACCAAAAATATTGATTTTGACTAAAGAAAAAAACAGGCTGATGGATCACCAGTTACCAGTTTTGGTCAGAAGGAATTATAGAATACCTTATAAAAAATATAAAATAATCTAGCAGAGTGTTAAAAAAAAAATTTCTAGTTTTTATCATAATTATTTGTATATAATATCAGTGGAGGATCAAGGAGGGCCTAGCCACACCAGGCCCCTAAATTTTAAAAGTTATAAAATAAGTGGAAAAAGTAAAAAAAAACTATATATTTAAATTTAAGTGCAAGAGTGCCATTTCAGGCCATTTAGAGATAATATAATCATAAATGTTCTTACCTCAGCCCCAACAATGGTGGGGCTGAGATGGCATTGACCCTCTATCTATGAAAGTCCTCCTCTTGGCCCCTTCTAATTCCTGGATCCCCCAATGAATATCATCATACTGTATATTACTATCATTTATATGCCTACATATTATAATTAGCAATTGTAAGAATAACTTAACTAGCTCTTGTAAAAAAAATAATAATTCACAATAAATAACATAACTGTAATAATTAATAGGCCAAAATATAATAATCATATCATAAGAATTATCAATAATGATGCAACTGTAATTATATATCATTATTACTTACTACAGTATGTATTTTACTTAGCAACAGTATTACCAGTGGTTTTACTGAAATTATAATAGTCATAAATCAGCACATCAGCATTTACCTCAAAGCGTGCTTTATAAGCTGGGTATTTCTTTTTCTGGCCAGTCTTTGCAAGGACAATTTGTATTCTTCGTTTGAGATTCTCCCAGTCTACAGAATGAGGCTTGCCTTGCTCCATCCACAATTTCTCCTCAACTTTCAACGCCTCTTCAAAGTTTTTCTCAGCTTGCTCTAGATCACCTCGGTCTTTATTCCGCTCCAGGTAGAACAACCCCAGAAGATAGTATGTGCGTGCTGTGTCAGAGTGGATGCCTAACAAATCAACTCGTCTTTTAAGACATCTTTCTCCAAAGTCGATGGCATCATCATATCTTAAAAAGAAAATAGTGTGTGTAATTATTAAATACAAAGTGCTCAAATAAAGGAAAAATGATGTACAATATTTATTGAAGGTTGTAAAAAGTATAGTCTATCAATGATGAAGGTCCTTTCAGTTGTTTAAAAGAGTGCCCCAGATGGCAATTGAACCTGCAATCTCCCACTGTCATGGTGGTGTCATACCACTTGATTGCAAGGCCTACTGAACTGCGGAAATACGCAAAATAGGTAACATGCAAACGGGCATAGAAAGCTCCACGCCAATATTTTTTAATAAGCGCCGCACTGGAAGTATTTTTTTATTTTCCAGTATAAAGGTCTCAGTATGCAGGATCAAGTTAAATAACTTGTACCTGCAAAATGAGCAAATTAATTTCAAAATTATATTTTATGATTTTTTTGTCATTTTCAGGGAAGAATACAAAGCAAAATACAGAGAATAGCCAGAAGGCTGTAAGGAAAACCTAAAACTACTCTACATGACTAAAGCAAAAAGACAATGTTTTTTGATGAAAATGGAAGCAGATCGTTAATAAAAATTTGGGTTTCAAATTAGTATTTACTCAGGAGATTTCCAGTTTCAATCATTAAATCGTAACACTCTTACCTGTCCACATCTCTGTATGCAAGTGCAAGGTTTCTGAGAGTCTTCAGATACCCTTCCTCGTTGTCAATCAGCATATTATCTTCCACCTCTAAAGACTGCCTGTAAACTTTTATAGCTTTGTCAATATCTTGTAACTGATAATGACAAGAACCTATGTTTGCTAGGTACACTGGGATATCTGGGTGGTTTTCTGATCCAGTTAGGTCCCTTCTCAGTTTGTAGGCCTTCTGGTAAAATCCCATTGCTTCTTTTATTTTACTCCTCGCACAGACAGCATTGCTACTCTGAAGCCTAGATTTGTTCAATATTACATCTGCCATTGTGCTATAGAATCGAGCGATGTTTGTGTTCTTTAAATTTAGTTCTTCCACAAGAGCACACGCAATTTGCATCCGCTCAATAGCCTGGTCTAAATCACGAACACATGTTGTACAAACATTACCCCACAGTTGATAAAGAATAATCAGTTTTTCTTTCTCGGCAGCATTTAAGTTTTGAATGTGCTTTTCGGCAAAATATTTTTCAGTTTTCAAGATAGATAACAAACTGCCAGTTAAGGATCTTTTATCAGGTTGTACCTCTTGCGTGTTAGTAGCTTTTAGCAGTGTTTGTTCAGCATCTTCAAGAAGTGGTAGAATTTCTTCATAGCGATAATTTATTCTGGACATCTGTAACCCCTCATATGCTGACATTTCAACAAACTCAAGTGTGCTTTGGTTCTGCTGTGCAAGCTGTCGCTGGGCTTTGAAAAACTTCAGCCTTTCTTTTGTAGAATAAAATAGTTCAATTGTACTAGATATCAATCGCCACTCATCAATTTCAATGTGTCTCTTCTGCTTTGGTAGCAGCCTAAGAAGCTCTTGAAAGTTGGCAGCATCATCATTTTTTCTTTTTATAGCTTTCTTGTACTTCTTCTCACTAACTGTTCCAATTGTTTTCAACTTCCTTAAATAATAACCAACAAACTCCTCTTCTCCTAGCTTGTAATGCATTGTGATAGATGCGTCAATTTCGGCTATCTTTTGCAAGAACTGTCGCAACAGAAGATGCATTCCATAGCGTACGTCTGATTTGTTGAAGTCTTCATTGTCATCTATCGACGTCTCAATCAGATTCCTGTATTTTAAGTCTTGAAGCTGAAGGTTAACTTCAACCTGATCATTTCGTTTCATTCCAAAAACTGCAAGAGCTGCACGACTGGTGAATGTACCAGGAATAGTGGACAGACGAATAATACGAAACCTCTGCTTGTCGGGCAGACTGTAGAATGTGTTTTTCAAACATGATTCCAGGTTTATTTCACCATAAAATTCAAGCTTGGTGACTTCGTCAGATTTGTGCATTAAATACTCGATCAATTTTTTAGGAGTTATAGTGTGGTCCTGCAGGCGACTACCAGTGACTTTCAAAGCCAGAGGGCACTTTCCGCATAGGTGTACCAGTTGCTCTGCCTCTTCATCAGAAATTATGGTCCTGCCGGCATAGTAATTAAGAATATCTCTTGCGTCCTCATATTCCAGCTCATCGGCCTTAATTGAAATTGGCTTGACACAATTCTTATAGCGGGTGCATAGTTTAAGAGGCAATCCCATTCTGGTTGTGATTAATACCTTCAAATTGTCGTTGCCGCATTGAATGATTCTTTCAATTAGTTCAACAAAGTTGTTGTACACGTCATCGTTTACGCCTTCTTTCGGGGTTCTTAGCGGACGATCAGCATTGTCAAACAAAAGTACAGCCCCATCTGTTAAAAGGATAAAAATGAGTAGCATAATATACAAATTTTTAAAGAAACTTTAAAAACATGAGCTTTTGAGGGATCTCCAAAGCAGAAGCACAAAGACTACAAAACAAAAGGCAGTGGATATTGTTACGTCAGTATTAAACAGATTCCTAATTGGATGTTAACACAGCCATACATACAAAGTATCCAATCAGAATAGAATTTTTTTCATGACTCATGATGTAACAGCCACTGCCAAATTTAAAAAAAAAACTTAATACTGTAAGTGACAGTTACTATACAGTAATTATAAATATGAATGTTTAATAATCTATACTGATATTCTCACCATTGACAATTTATACAAATGGTCAGGATTTTTTTGACATTTTAGTATGTGCTGATAATAAGTGGCGGCGCCAGCGGGGCTTAAGCCCCCACTGGACAGGTCAAGCCCCCCCGCCGGACAGAGCTCATCGGGCAGTCAGACCATAAAACATAGGCCGGCCACACCAAGCCAACACATGTCTGTCACAGTCTGAGAGTGCCATTTTAGGCCATCCAGAGGTTGATATTCTCCTCTCGTTTGGGAGGGGTACCCCCTCCCAACCCCTTCCTCCAGCTCGAGCCTACAAGTTCAAGTCCCCCTGTCGGACTACTTAGCCCCCCAGAAAATATATCCTAGAGCCGCCACACTGCTGATCTGCTGACTAGTAATTGAAACTGTAAGAATGAACGTTAACAATTGAAAAATATGACTGAACTTTAGATTGTTATTCTTTTTTTTTTCTTGCCCTACTCCAATGTAAACAACTGCTAGTTTGAAGTTTTTTAAATAAATGAATTTCAATTGCACTGTACTTGTACACCACAGTAAAAAACTTTGCCATATGAAATGTGTGCTTCAAAATAGAACTAATAAATACAGTATAAATTATCTGCATGTTTATTTGGAACATCACATAAGGTTAATCAGCTCCAGTAAAAGACAGTTACAAATTGATAAATCAGAAGAATTAATCTTTGCTTTAAACTTATGATAATCAAATTTATTTACAGCATTAATTTTATTTACTAAGTCAATGATATTTTAAAGCATACAATGCAATTATGTTTGATTAGGACATCATTAGCAAAATAATGTTCTTCTCAATTATTTGCATTTAAGCGGTGCTTGGACTATCTCTGAAAGCAAAATACAAGCTGTTCTTAAAGTGCATTTTAATACTTCACATATTGCCGTTTTTTTTTCTTGTTTTTTTTTCAATTGTTGTTGAGACACGTTGCACCAAGTATCGTTTCAGTTAAACTGCAGATTTTAATATACCACAATTTAGGACGGAACTCCGCTTAATGCCAATTGTAAATAGCGATACAATCTGAAATGCCTTTTCCAGTTTTAGACTAACTCTGTGTAAGGATTTTCACTGACATCTGTAGATTTTTACTGTGATTCCATTTCAGTGTTACTGTTAGTGTGTTTCTCAATGTGGCTTTATATTTTGCTTTTACCTGTGTTTTTTTTTTTTTCTGAATTGCCGAAACCCTGATCTGTGTATTGTATTCACAATGCTTTTAGTTTTAACAAAAACATAAAAATCTGACAGTAAACAAATAATTGTCTTTGTTAAATGCAAAATTGGCGCCTCATAGTTAAAGGCTGTTCAGTGTGGTTCAGGCATAGAGATATAATAGTCCGGCAGCTTAGCAGATGGATGTGGACGTTCCGGACAAAACCACCAATTTTTTTTTACATGCTCCTTATGGTCATAGCATTCAATTTTTGGTAGGAACCACCTTATCCGAGGTCATTATGGCGGCCATCTTGGATTTCAAAATGGCCACCTAATAAAACCTATGTTTATCTATATCTCCGCTTCTAAACCACTTGGAATTATAATTCTAATGTCTGAAACTATTTTTATATATGGTCAAGGAATACAATCATACCATTTTTGACCTGGTCAGATTGCCACAAATAGGTCATTTAAGGTCATTTAAGGTCATTCAAGGTCAAATATTGTATGGTATCTTAAAAATATTTTTACATTAGAACCATACCCAGACTCTCAGAATTCAAAATCTTTACAATGAACTACAATATTTCATTTGAGGTCATTCTGGCGGCCATCTTGAATTTCAAAATTGCTGCCACGCAAATCCTATATTTATCAATATATGGGTTTTTAAACCATTTTAATGAGAATTAGGCCTATGATATCTAAAATTATATTTCATGGTCAAGGATTTATAACACTTGTGACATGGTCAGATGGTCGTTAATGTCATAAAAGGTCATTTAAGGTCATTCAATGTATATACCATACCATTACCAT